AGTATTTTTAATTTTAACATGAAAATTACTTTGCACACGGACTATTCAAAACAAATAAACAATATATTTATCGTCAAATCTTTATTTTATTTTATTAAAAATACTTCATTAAAAAATATTATTTTTTGTATGTGAAAGACTTATAATGTTGACGGAAATTGTGCCAAATTTTGTGAAGATATACACGCTATATTGAAAGTTAGAAGTATTAAATTTATAAAGACTTTAAATGAGTACAAAGAGGTCACGTGGTCAGTCAAATTTAAGAAGCCCGTGTTGAGAGCGTTAACTGAGTATTGTTGCATAATTAATACCTTGTACTGTGTTGAAAGTTCTAGACACTGGTCAGTCTATAAAGACATGTACAAAATGTAGTTCAAGTTAAGTTAGACAAAATTAATTAGAGATAAACAAATCTAAACTGTGTGTTTGTGAGTTGCTTTTTCTTAAAGTAAAATTATTGCAGATTGTATTGTAACAACAGAGTAGAGAAGAATAATTTGTTTTGTCAATTATGTTCTAAAGTAACTGAACAAACCTGTGTGGACTTTTGACAAAAAAAGAGAATTATTTAAAGCTCTGGATACAACTGTGGTAACCAACAGTGTAATGTAATAACAGAGCAGAAAAGAATAATTTGTCTTCTCAGTTGTGTTCTAACATAACTGAACTAGTATGTGTGGACTTTGACAAAAAAAAATTATTTAAAGCTCTGGATACAATTGTATAGCAAACATTTGTATATATGTTTTACTTGTTTTAATATATTATTTGAAAATAAGTGGACTCTGTACTGTGTTTGTTGTTAAAATTTATCACCAACAAGTCATAGACACCTACCATAAGGAATTTGGCCCACACACACATACAAAATCCTAATACCTAATCACTTAACTTCTGGTCTCTTCAGAGTATTCAGTTTACTAGTTCTATTATGACAACTGATTATATTTGATAAGTTGGTTTGTGTTCTCTAATTCTTCTTTCTTTATTATTCATTGCTCTTTTATGGCTCATAGCACATAAGTGTAGTTTTATCTGTAAGGTCAAGTATATTGTCAGTTGCAAACACCATATTCTAATCTTTTTTTATCACCTAAAAATGAATTGTTGAAATCATAGTACATTGTGGTACATACAATAATATTTGCTTAAAAAACCTTGATGTACTGCAATACTTTTTTTTTGTGGTACCCATTTCTACTCTCCTCTAACTCAGCAGTTAAGCATACATTGATTTTATGCTTACAATTATTAAGAGAATGCTACATCACAAGTCAAAGAATAATAACCACCTTGGTGTTGCATGTTTGCAATAATTAACATAACATTATGTCACATGTCAATCAACAATAACAACCTTGGTGTCACATATATACAATAATAGACATAATACTATATCACAAGCCAATCAATGATAAACATTTTGTACAAAGCATTTGATTGTTGAGTTACATCATACACTGTATTTTAACACTGGACAACATAATTACACAAAATGTAAGTAGGAAACTCGAAAGTTATTATATGTGTAATGTATTCACTGTGGAATAATATATGTCATGTAATGATTATATGTTAACAGAAACATGCATCTGAATGAAGAAATAAAGCTAACTTAATTCTTCATAGCATGTAATCAGTCAAATAATTTTCTAGACCATTAGTTTTGTTGCATTTAATTACAAACAAATGCATGTGAACATGTAAATAATTTATAATTTTGTTGAACTTTGTTCCTTATTAAGTTGGATATGAAAAAACTGTCCACCCTTGTGCTTAACAAAATATATTCTGTAGGGCTATTCTTTAAATTGATTAATGCATATAATGTACACTCTATGAATGACAATAACTGTCAAGAAAATAATCAACTAATTAAGAGTAGGGTTTCTGTTATATCAGTTTTTGATTATTCCAAATATGCAAGTAATATAAATATTGCCATTATGGTTTACCATTATTATTTTAGATTAATTCAGAGTTGCTCATCCTAATCAATCCATTAGTGTTATAACACGTAAGAATAATCAAAATTAGTGTTTCTAATTATTACTATTTTCAGTTATTCGAACTATCCAACTGGGATTATGGAGAGGATGTGGAACCTGTACTTTAACGAAGGACCTAGGATGGGACCACTTCGCATTCGGAATTATGAGGAGATAGTAGACCTCCTTCCATGAACAATATACGAAACCAACATTGATCAAAGAGTAGGCCCATGCACCCCCACCCCCAAACCGGATAGCTTCATAGAAAATCTGAACCGGAATTACAAGTAGGCTCCTGTAGAGGTTGGTACCGCTCCTACTTACATCTGGGAAAAACATCCAGGGACCTGAATAAGAGGGCCCCCAAATTCACCCTTTTCTCCAAGAGTGGAGGAACACACTTTAACACTCTGGAAGAAAAGCCTCTGTCTGCCACCCCAGCAACTGAAAACTGGAGGTGATTAGGACTCCCAAGTTCCACTAGTAGAGTCTGGAGGGGGTAATATGCATTGGGGATTTCTGAGGAACAGTGCTCTGGAAACTGTGCAATAGGTGAACCAAGTTCCCTACATTTTTAAAAGCAAACCATTAGGGTAATGGGAGATAAGTCACAGGAAATAGAATGATTCCAATCAATTCCTACTACCTCAAAATGAATTAGTACAAGCCACATAATACTTGAGGGCCCTAACAGGATATAACAAATGATCAGGATCGGAGCAGTCATAAAGCTGAGAAATGACTGGCAAATGGATTGATGAGAAGGATCTTTCCCCTTCCCTAGCTGTCAGAGTCTTGGGAAGAAAAGACCTATCGGGGTAAAGCAGGAAAAATGTGGAATGATAAAGAGTTTCATGCACATGGATTGTAAACAACCCTGACCAACGATGCCAACAACACAAAAAATACAATTTAAGAGAAAGGTGAAACAAAGAACACGAAGCTAATGGCTCAAAGGAAGGATGAGACAATGCATGTAAAACAACTGTAAAATCCCAATTTGGTAATTGAAAAGGTTGTTGGGTTGGAGAATATGAATAGAGTTGAGTAGACCTGATAGTACTGAGGATTCAAAAACCTTCCAATATTTGAAATACCAAAATGTAGTGGATAAAGATGCCTTATATAAAGTCACCGTAGATGAAGCAAGACCCTTCTCAAATACCCATGTCAAAAAACGGGAAATGGTAGATACTTTAGGATTAAGAGGGTTTAAATTCCACCTAATACACCACTGATGATAAGTATCCCATTTCCATTGACAAATGGCTGTGGTTGGCCTATGGAGAGATTTAGTTAAATACTGAGAAACCTTAGAAGTTAAACACTTATGTTGGGCAAAGGACCACATAACTTCCAAGTATAAAGACTGTGTTTCCAAACATCTGGGTGGAGAATGTCAGATCAATGTTGTCTCAACAGACACTGCCAATGTGGAAGATGTAGAAGTGGACATTCCTGCAAATACCAAAGAAGCAGAAATCATGTTTGAGTTGGCCAATATGGTGCAACCAAGAGAACTTGATAGGGATTAGAACAAACAATAGTCAGAACTAGAGGCAATAGCTGAATTGGGGGGAAAGGCATACAGATATAAATCTGTCCAGTGCTGACTGAACACACCTACTGCCAATGCTTGAGGATGAGGTATTGGAGACCAAAACAACTGCAGTTGAGAATTCCAATGAGTCACAAAGACATTGATCGTTGGAGACCTGAACTGAGAGCAAATTCACCAAAAAACCTTGTGATGTAGCATCCATTCCATCGGAAGAATATGGTTGGGTCGAGACAAGTGATCTACAATTAAATTCCTCTCTCCTGGAAAATGACAAGCTAAAAGACTGATATGATGGGAATGAGCCCAGTAGAGAAGATCCAAGGTATGAAAACAAAAGTCTCGAGAATGTGTGTGTGTCTCCTTGACTACTGTGGAATTGTTGGAATGAATCATGACCATTTTTCCCTTCAAGACAGACAGACTTTGAACCACTGCCCAGGGTACTGCAAGGAGTTCAAGAAAATTGATATGGAGGGTACACTCATCTTCCGTCCAAATACCCTGGAACTCCTGACCTTGAAGATAAGCTCCCCATCCCTGAAGAGATGCATCTGTGAACAGATGGATCTCAGGATGAGGTGGTGGAAAGAGTACCCCAACGGTAGTGTTGTTCTGATGCAACCATCCTTCGCAATCGGCGATGATGCTCCTGAGTAATCAGACAGGATGATTCAAAAGATTGGAATGCATGATCCATTGGTCATGCAGTAACCACTGAAGGGACCTCATATGTGCTCATCCCAAAGGAATGAGAGGTTCGATGGATGCCCACATTCCCAAAAAAGAGAGAACCATCTGTGCAGTAGGAGAAGGAGACATAAATAAAAGTCTTATGGCACTTTCCATGGCTTGAAACCTGATAGGGGTTGGTTGAGTAAGACTTAAGTGACTATTGAAAAACACATCCAGATGGACGAGATATTATGTTGGTGACAATATATAGATTTCTCCGGTCTGTTAAGGAAACCCGCTTTTGTGGAGAATCTGAGTGTTGTTCTGCTAATTGATGGAATGGTGCCAGAAGGAGCCAATTGTCCATATAATGATGTGTGCACAGGTCCAATGCATGTGGATGATGAGAAAAAGCTCAAACAACTCTGCAGAAGACATAAGGTGCTGATGCAAGACCAAGAGGTAGAGCCCTGAACTGCAGCACCTGACCCTTGCGCAAAAATTTCAGAAACCTCTGGGAAGATTCTGTTATGGGAATATGGAGATAAGCATCGGTAACATCGAACTTGTTCATCCAGAGCCTGGCACTAACTGCCATCATAGGTTGAGAAAAGATTCCATAGTAAAGCGAGGATGATCTAAAAATTGGTTGAGTCGAGACAGATCGATAATTGGGGTGTTACAAATTGGGGAGAAATCAAAAGCTTGTTACCCAACATTTCTGTTAGTGGACATCCCAGCATATTATATGCCAAGAATTTTCCTTTGGCTGCTAGAAATTATATGCATGAAGGTCTCTTGGATGTCCATGCAGAGGCACACTTAGATGTCATACTTAAATATTGTCAACTTGCAATTAAAAAATGTGTTGAACTGCTAAGAATTTATTATTCTATAATGTACTGTTTTTTGATCCAATTCCCTGTCAGTTTTACCTATGTCTAATCAATTAGTGTCATGTCTCATGAAAATAACCAACTAGTCAAAATTACCATGACTAATCTTTAATTTTCTATATAATACTAATAGATTTTGAGTAGAAAACTAAGCCTATAGTATATGGCAGGCCTAGACCTATACCAAAGCCCACAACTCAGGACCTAGATCTCCTTCTACTTCTTTAGGTTTTTAATGTTTTATTCACCTCTTAAAGGTGAATGAATAACGATTTATACAAAAGCTGATCAAGAGCCTAAAATATTTAGTAAATATTGGTCTAGCCTATACCTACACACTACAGGCCTCTTAGTCTTAGTAATCAAGGCATTATTATTATTATTAATTGTGTAGTGTTACTTTGACTCACTGTATCTTTCCTTAATTTAAATTTTCTTTTAAGTTAGCATTTTTATTCCTTTAAGTTTAAGTTTAATTAACAATGGCCTATATTATATATATACCCCACTACTTTAGCCCTTTTGCTACATGTAGGAGTTTAAAGTTTAACTAATTAATATTTGCTCAATCATATTAAGTTAATGTTTAACACCGTTAATAGCATTATTAACAGTAAACTTAACTTTAAGTGAAACTGAAAGTGCATCTGTAGTTTGACTATTAATATTAAACCATATGCATAATGATAAAAATTGTATATACACTGTTGTTACCAAGTTAGGCTTCCCGGTACGGTCGTGCGACTCAGCAAGAAAAAAACAAAAAACGCTGTACCTTGTTAATATATATCCATAAGCTATATTATTATTATTTATTATTATAACCTTATAAGTTAGGTTTAAGAAGACTGCAAAGTGACAAATACTAACGTTAATACTGTAACTTGGGCGCAAGTTAAACAGCATCAGCCATTTTTTTCTCTCTTCACACAGTCTGTTGTGTAAATCATGTATAGTATACTATAATTCCTAGTCATATAATAAACAGCATTTATACTTATACTTTACAAATTATAGATCAGTGAAGGCTAATGACATTGACATGAGCTAAACCCAGAGAAACGCTATACTCATATTATAGGTATACTGTACTGTACATTATACAAAACTAAAGTAATAATAATAATTTAATATAATAATAAGGCCTAAAATTTAGTGGTTCTATTTTCAACTTGCAAATTTCATAATCTTACCTCCTCCGTTGTAAAATAATAACGAATAAATATAATTGTAACGCAATTGTTATAACAATTGCAATTGTCAGTTATTTTGAAGTCTTTACGACGTTACTCTAAACAAACACTACCGCGACATAAGCTACTATTAACGTATTTACTCGATACGTCAAGCAAGCTCTATACATAGATCAATGCGTACGACTATTACCATCTGCAAAATGTCTAGCAGTCAACGTCCAAAACGACCTCTTCAACAGATTCATTCAAATTGTTAATATAATAAAATTACCTATTCAAATTGTAATAATCATCCATGAAACATACGAACATTAAATGAAATTCTAAAAATTAAAATAGGTGGTAAGCTAAAATCAAAAAGTCGGTAAACAAAATATTGAAAATGCAGTAGATAAAACTGGGTTTTAACCCGATTTTATAATACACTAATAATCTCTTCTATGGTATAACGTTGTAACAAACATTAAACAGCATGTGGGCTAGACTCACGAAGAAAGTGAAACTAAAATAGTTATATATGAAGAAAGTGAAACGCATGTACGTTAATATTGCAATAGAAATATTGTAAAACTATAGAAGTTGAAAAGGAAAATGTAGTTTAAAGACATTTGGGTAAAACAAAAGTAATTATTTTATAATTGTAGCAAATGAAATAAAATTCTAAGAAATTAAATATTACGATGATTTGTTTTCCTGAGAGGTAACGAGTCTTTATATTCCTGAAAATTATGAATAGCGCAAACTGTTTTTTTAAGGACCTCATCCGCACTCTTCATGCTCTTTATTCTCAGTTTTATTCCTATTCATTATTCAAAACTGTTTTAGAGATTTCAAGCTAGTTAATTTTTAATTCTTCCTATTACTGTGAGAGAGAGCGAGAAGAGCATAATGATTTTGCGGTATTCTCGGATAAAACTGGAGCGAACGAGTAGGCCCGTAAACTGAAATTTTGAAAATAAATGTATTGCAGAGAATAAACTGAACACCTACAGTAAAAAGATAGAAAAAAGTCAAATACATTTGTACAAACAGAGAAATAAAATGTTACTTTCACATATTAAAAATTAAAACCGTGACAAACTGTGTCTCTATCGTTATGTAGTGTTGACCATATATTTTTTGCATCTCTAAGTGGAGATATATTTAGTCGAAACTATGCTATTGAGTTTGTGTAAACTAAGGAAACGTAAATGAATCAGTACAGCGTGAAAAATTAGGTGTACTATTTTACATGCGCATATATTATTATGGGCAAAACAAATTAACATATTTTCATTTTCGCCTTTGAGTGTTCCATTACAAACCAAACAGTTATCCTCTGGTGCGTCAGTGGTAAGTTTACGGACTTCAACAGGTGTACAAATAAAAATAAAGTGTTTATTTCACACATTAGAAAACCACAATGAATTGGACTGGGTCTTTATCTTTATGCACTGCCGGTTCCTTTTTTTTTTTTTTTTTTTTTTTGCCCCTAGCAGAGATGTATTATATAAAATAACTTTGTAACTGGTCACAACGGAGTTATTCAATCTTTCAGCATACTCTAATTTTTACGTTTTAAGACTGTTGGAGGTGTTTCCCTTGCTTTTTCTGTCTGTTTAGTATCTCTAGATTACGAAAACAGCAGATACTTTGTTTTCCTTTTCCGCGCCTTTATAAGTTGATTATAAAATTCGCGATGGACAGAGTGCATAAAGTCAGCTGTGTAGCCTTGAGTTTAAACAGCAGCAGCAACCAAACTCTTAGAAAGCTGAATGCAAAAGGTATATATTGAAAATATACCTTCTAAGTGATATAGTTTGTATGTTTTTCAATTATTTAAATTTCCGCATTGACATTGCAGCTACACGTGGTCCTTTGTTTTCTTTTAGTCGCTTCGTTTCTTTATTCTCTTGGTAGGTGAAGCTGTCTCACCACCAAGAGAGACTACAAATATTAAATGATGACATGTAGAACAGACGGAGCTTCTCTAAGTTGAGAGGAATGCTGCGAGGATTACAACGAGTTATGGAATATCTTGGAACCATTAATTTTCTTCTGCAACATGTTGTTCTGCCTCCTAGAAGCAAAGATAAAATGTTTGTCTGAACATAGGATCTCCAACCAACAACCCTATCCCGTGTTTCAGCCTGGTGTTAACTGAGATGTTGATAAAGGTGTCTTGTTTCTGCAGTCCCTGAAAGTCAAGCAAATTTATTTGTTGGTATTCAAGTAATCACAATGTTGCAAAAGAGTGACTTTGTTGTACATTGATTGAACCCACAACATGGGCTCACCATGGCCAGGTGGTTAGGGCTCTCCACTCATAATCTGTAGGTCGCGATTTCGAATTCCAGTCACACCAAACATACTCGCCATTTCAGACGTGGGGGCTTTATAATGTGACGGTCAATCCAACTATTCGTTGGTAAAAGAATAGCCTAAGAGTTGGCGGTGGATGGTGATGACTAGCTGCCTTCCCTGATGCATTAGGGACGGCTAGCGCAAATAGCCCTCGTGTAGCTTTGCACGAAATTCAAAACATACAATCCTTCCTCAGACAGTGCCGGTCTGAAAAGCTAATTCCTAAAATTTGTGAAGGTCAAGTTATCGAAAAACTTAAACCAGTTTTCAGGTATTATCCAAAACATGCAGAAAAAACTCCTAAAAGCAACCCTGAATTCCAAATATCAAGAACTGGACTACTTACAAAAACTCAAACAGAAATTAGACCACCAACTAGCCTGCTATCTCAAACCAGATGATTACAGCAATATACACTATGCTATCAACCAAAACAACTTGTTTTTGAACCAAGAAAAGAAGTCCATACACAATAAGAAACTATATCAACTAAGGAAACTATAACAACTTTGAAGTGAAACACAACAATGCAGCTCAGCCTAACCTTGTAATCAACAGATCTGACTGAACACTCAATGACACAGAACTTCAACTTCTAAACAAAGGCCTCAACTATGCCATCAACCACAAAACAGTTCCATGCCTAAAGTTTAAGGCGCGCCTTAATATAGTCAACCAATCCCATAAACTGGAAAGTAACCTCACAAGTAACGAGATCAAATCCATTTAAAATCTGAAAAAAAGACACTAACATTAAAATTCTAAATACTAATAAAATCAACCTCACTGTAATCATGAATAAATCAGAATACATCAACAAAATGAACGATATCCTTGCCGATAAAAAGAAATTCAAAGCAATCCCAAACAACCCAACAAACACACACGAAAAACAACTAAACAGAAGTTTATTTCAAATGAAAAAGATAATTTAATTACTGACGATCTTTATTTTTATCTATGTAAAACTGATTCACGCACACCACAACTCTATGGCATTTCTAAACCACACAAACAGGACTGCCCCTTACAATCTATACTGTCCACATATGATTCCTTCAATCTTTGCAAATACATAGCCTGGTCTCTCGCCATATGTAACATCTGTAGGTTAATTTTTAAAGATGCTTTCAATTTCAAATATACTGTTGCGTCAGCGAGATCACGTGACTAGTG